GTCGTAAGGCGGCTCTCTTCGTGAAGTAACTGGATGAGCATGTACAGGGGAAGCTGACTTTTTCCCTGAAGTGAAAAGGAGGAAAATATATATAAATATGGAAATATAACCCGGACTCGAAAGGAGGAAATGTGCCACAAAACCGAGGAACCGTAACGTAATGACAAGCAAATAAGTAACCTACCTGCGCCCGTCGGTTGAGCCCGTTGTGCCATCCTTCGACGTCGTTGTTGGTCCGGATGGCGCTTAGGCATACACTCCAACAGGACGGTGGCCAGATGTTGTTGACGATCCAGTTGTGTTCTAAATAACTGGCAAAGGCGTTCAGCTGGTTTGTTCTTGCGTTTCTTTTGAGCTTGAAGAACTGACATTATCGCAAACAGGAGAGAGACCTGCTTTGCAAAGGAATCACTTCGCACGAACGCGTTGATGTTCAGTGGCTGGCTGAATGGGTTTCGGCAAAGTTTGAAAGTACCGTCGATATACCAGGCCTTGGCCCTGCACAACACCTCTAGCTGTTGCTGGCTGGCGAACAGAAGGTGACGACGCCCACGTACCTGTAAAATCAAACAACAAAACGTTAATGTAGCTGCTTAAAATATATAATCTTAGTACACTAAACGCGTGATAAAAACATTTGATAATGAAATACAAATGAAGTAGTTGCAAGGACTTTTTAAAAGTGCTTAACCCTAATATCTCCACGGAGAAAGTTCTGAGGGATGTGCTCGGGCTGCGATTCAAACTCGAGGTCTACGGGATCTGTTGGTCTCAATCGCTGCCGAAGGTGGTTAGCTGCTTTGGCGAGGTTTATTGGCCTTGGCAAACTGGGGCACGGATCCTCTGTTAGTTCCTCCATTAACACCTCGTTGACAACTTCAGACGCCGGCTTAAACAAATTCGCGACAGCTTCCTTTTTAGTCTTTGCAATTATCCGGGCGGCTAAGCTTGCACCCACTTTCCCTGGGTGATTGTGCGGCGTGGGGCCCAGGACAAGTTCACCAGACGCCCTCTCAACTACCGTGGCTCTACAGACATTACCCTTTGGAGAGCATAAATTAAAACAATAAGTAGCTCTACAGACGTGCTTATTACCCTATGGAGAACACAAATTGCAACAATCAGATTCAATCAAATAAAAGAATGTAAAACTGAACCTACCTTTGGTCTAACAGTGCATTGCCAATCGATGTGTCCACCTCGACGTCTCTTAACGTTGTACGTGTAACCACGGCTGTCCACTAGCTTATTTCGGCCCCGCTTTGTGGAATCCTCCACGATCTCAAACTCGATCTGGAAGGTGGCTGGTCTCGAATCTGTGGCTAAAGGCTCCATTAGCGACGACTCATTAAATGCAGGAGGTTCAGAAGGCGAAGCAGGAGGAGCATCGACGTTATCGCAGTCAAGCTCAGGATTTATTTAACGTACCATAGACTGAAAGTCGTAGTCGGAACATAGCACCGGGGTACTGCTTAGAGGGTATCCCTCGCAATCTTCACAGTGCCAATTGATTGATCCGCCGGAACGGACTGCTTCTCGGTAGTCATGCTGGATGATGGAAGTTTGGCAGGTACGGTGTTGCCAACGTTCACATCCGTCGCATAAGAGGGCTTCTTGACGAGGACGAACGATCTGATGGCAGACGATGCAGGAATCCATGATGAAGTTTTTAAAAAACTGTTTTTCAACGATTGGAAGCGATAGACTTATTGATAATGGAGAAGATAGCTTATTGCTGATACGAGTGTACTAAAAACTTAAGCGACGTTTCATTTTAATACTAAAAGAAGCGGACCTATAAGGGAACAACGTCTAGCTACCGGAATAATAATGAGGATCGAAATGCACCAATAGCCTCAAAGCCT